ACAGTGCCTGCTACAATCAGGGGATACCCTCCAACGTTTTTTTTTTCCTAGATTATTGTGATAGCCTCTTAACTAATCACCCTGCGTCTATACTTGCTCTTTATAGTCCTCGTCTGGTTTTCCTGAATGCCTCCCAGTCATGTTCACACATGCTCAGGATCTTGGTGGGCTGAAAGAGTGAAGGAAAGGAATCCCTAAGGGACCAAGCCCTGCAGAGAAGGTCTCTCTCTCATGCACATATATGTACTCTGTCATGCATTTTTTTAAAATTTAAATGATTTTCAAGAGAATTGAAAAATCAAGTATATATATAACTATAGTATTCTGTAAAAACGCATCTATTTATATAAGTTAAATGCTTGTAAGTGCATAAAACATTTTGAAAAAACTCTAGAAGAAACTGGTAATAAGTTTGCCTGTGGGAACACTACCTGTGATGGAAAGGAAGGCATATTCTCTACTGTTGTCATTTAAACCTAACACCTCTTCAGTTAAGAAAGTAGTTGAGAAATACGATACACAATTGAGCCTAGTTCTGGAATGCAGAATTCTTCTTAAAGTAGAGGCTTAGCTTTTTGAGTTCTTTAGAAGCTGTTAATTTGTATCACCACTAGGTGGCACTTACCTACTGATACGTTCTTAAAGATTCCCAAGTACAAGTTTTAAACAAAGATTTTTGGGTCTCCTGAGTCACCAAAGTTTCATTTAGCTATGTCTCATTGTCTTCTTCCTCTTCTTCCTTTATTTTTTTTTTTCAAGGAACATACTCAACTACGTTATGTTATTGTTCTGAGCGACTGTTTGATGCTGTATATAAACTTTGGATGATTTTTGAATATAATTTCTTATTTAACATCCTGATAACACTTGAATTATAAAAATGTCAGAAATCTGCAAAAGCTAGCTTAAATAATGTGGAAATACTTTTAAGTTTCCAGTGTTTATTGAATTTTCTCTGTATTTTTATCATTTTTCCTATGAAATAATAATTGAAATTTGTTCACTCTGTGTACAAGAGTTATTTTTATTTGATTTTATTATTTCACTGCTTTTATACCAAACTAATCAGTGCCCTGGACTAAATGCAACTCAACAACCATTTGCTGAATGCTCATGTATAATGAGATGTTAGGCAAATTGGTACTGTATAGGATACAAAGCCTCAAATATTTATTGCCTCTGTTTTTATGGATGATGACATTCATGAACACAAATAACTGCAGTACAGTTTGGAATGTGGTAAATTGCTAAATGAAAATAATAAGTGTACTGGGAACAGATATTTGATACTAATTTGGCGTCTCCAAGTATACAGCAGCATTTGAGAAGAGTTTTAAATATACAGTTTTATTCTCTGAATTAATTGAATAGATATGTGGGACAGATTTATATTTCTATGTAAAGGGTGAATTATCTTATATTTGGGATAAAGATATGGCCTTAATGTACAAGTGGTCTATATGGGTTAATAGAAAAAGTACCCATATTCATTTTTCCCCTTATTAATGATACTATGCATGTATGTACACGTGAGACGGAGAGAGAAGAGAGAGGAGCACCCGTTACAGTGTCTGGTCACACTGTAACTCCCTTTCTCTAGTCCTCCAGCCCACTGTACCTCGGGCAGTCTTGTGTGTTCCCTGACTGGGGTTGCTGTGTGGAATCAGCTGCTCTGAGCTGCACATGACCAGCTGCACCACAGAGCCAGCCCCCATATTCATTTTGATGGTAAAGTTTACAAAACAAAAATGGTGGCATACATTTGATAAATTATAATAGTAAAAAAGAAAATGTTATTAAGGGGCTGGAAGGTGGCACGGTGGCTAAGGCATTGGACTTCTACATGGCTGACCATGATTCGAGTCCCAGACCTGGTGACCTGCTTTCTCATTTTCCCTCTCTCTCTCTCTGTCTCTGGTCAAATTAAAAAAATAAGTAAAAAAATAAATTTAGTCTTTAAAAGTTATGAAAACATTTTTTTTCTCAATTTAAAAAAATCACTGGAGTGGCCAGCAGGTGGTGTTTTGGTTATGGCATTGATTATGGCAATAACCACGGTTCAAGTCCCAGACATGACAGCTTGAGAATCATGGTGTGTGTGTGTGTGTGTGTGTGTGTGTGTGTGTGCGCACGTGTGCGCACCCCAAATCCAGGTGGAGAATGGAGGGAAGGGATTGCACCGTGGCCATCCCCCAAAGGTGATTTCTCTCTCTCTCTCTCACTGTCTTTCTCTGGGGAATGTGCATGCTGTTTGGCAAAAAATCTTAAAAAAATGGAAAACTATTAGACTACATTTTATTTATATGCTTACATATGTTTATATATAGATTAGTGTACACACACATATATATACAT